CTCTTTTAGCAGGAAGACTACAGAAATTCCTTAAGACACAAGCGATGGCTGCACTTAGACACTATTCTGCATTGATTACAGATGTTCATAGTGAACAAATCCAATCTGAAATCAGTTATGCTTAAATCGTTATGGAGCTGGACAGGACTCTAACATGAGGTGTTGTGCATTGATCATAACGTTCCATGTCTGCTTTTATTTTGAAGTCTAGACACCAAAGAGAAGACAGGAAATGGTAAGGGGTTGCCATGGTAAGGAAAGCTGGAAATGGACCCAAATTCCTTAGCAGTTTAACATAAAGATAGACTAGATGCATCTTATGAACTGTTAGCAACAACATCCTGTAAATAGGAATGTTCGCCATGTTTGGGTTGATTGAAAACATACTGTAATGAAATAAAAAATTATGTATAATAACCATAAAAATGATATGCATAATAACTGGCAGTTTATTAACTTTTTCTCGCTTTATTCTGAAACAGAAAACCCGAAGAACAAATGATACACAGATTTAACACTATAGTTTTATATAATAGTTTTGTAAAGAGCAAACTGAACTACCAAAGGGTCTTAGACTTAAATTATTGTCTAAATTGTCTAAAATGACAACAAATCAAGGTCCAGCTGTATTAGGTCTGGAAATTGTATGATTTAGGTGATTAATGCATCTGTATGGAAAACGAGAAGAAAGAAATATGCAGTAATTTTATAACCCTCATAGTTATTTTCCACTCATCTGCAGTCTGTCAAATCAATATCTTTAAATGCGACAAATGAATCAGACTGAAAATGGTCCATTAAAACCAAATGACCCCAGATTTAAACTTAAACAGAGAAATCAATGAATAAAACATTCCTGTAGCCCCTCAGAGGGTTCATAAATCCGGATCTATTTACCACTGTTGGGTATATATGCCTCCTGACGAATGGCAGAGGAAGAAATACACAAGTGTTGTACTATTAATATCACAATATTGTAGACATGAAACCCATGAAGGATGGAGTAGAGGAGGAGAGGGGTAAGTGAAAGCATAAATACTATCTGACTCTGTGCAAACATGTTGAATGGAAATGTCATTTAACCCTTAGACACGAGCCCTTTGAGGCTGCGGGGGTGTGTGAGAATGTGTGTGTGCTGGTTCAGAGGCAGAGCAATGAGGTACAGCTTAGCTGATATGAATTGACGGCTGCTGTCAGTGCTCTTACTGCTTTCAATAAAGTCAAAGCCTGTGTGTGATTTGCTCTACTGTGGATGTAAATATGCTCCTCGTCTGCCTCCATCCTGTCTTCCAGCTGTTTTTTGTTTCTGGTATTTCTTTCTGATTCACAAAGTTATAAAAATGTTTGTTGTTCTAATTCTTTATTTTAGAACACCTACTAATGTCAAACATTGCTCTTTTTATGTTCAGACATCATATCTTCATACACTTAAAAAGAGGGTTTGATTCATGCATATTTTGATTACCAGCTGCAATACATTCTTGTGATGTTTCAAAGTAGTCCTGAAATAAATCTCTCCAGGCCTTACAGTAGGAGCCCTTTTTCTCCCTTTAGTTGTTTATAAATACAATTTCGGAGATACATTAAAGCAAACTAGTAAGACAAATTCTTTTTTCTCTTTAGTTTGATCTGATTTCCAAAATAAATGCAATGTTTTTTACAAATTGGGCAATAAATACTGTATATTTTGAATTAGTGGAACACATTGAAAACATGCAAAGTATGCTTTACTGTAGCATTTAACATGTGTTACATCTAAACTTGAGGACATGAAGAGGATGTTTTTGGACATCCTATTGACATTTAATTCAGAATATTTTATTAGACTTAAACAACTAAGAAAAATTTTTTGTTGTTTTTTTTTTTTTTGAAAAAGGAAATTATTAGGGTTGATCAAGTGGTTGTTCATTTATATATATATAAAGGATTTACAAGCTGGAGCTGGCCCTCAGACCTCAAACCAAGCAGGGGACAGTAAATCTGGATGAGGTCTGCGATGTACTGAGGTGCTGAGCCTCAAAAAACAATATTTTAAAATCTATTCTAAACTTAAGAGGGAGCCAGTGCAAAGACATAAGGACTGGGGTGTTGTGTTCATGTTTTTTGGTGCCCGTTAAAAATAATTTGTGAAAGTGCTTTGTTGCTAATGCCCGAATAAAGTATGTTTCAGTAGTGCAGACGACTTGAAATATTCAAATGCACGACTTGCTCAAAATATTGTCTATAGTTCTAGAAGGTATATTGTGCTTTTTCAGTAAAGGCATGGCTTTGTTGTTTTTTATTTAGCTTTTTAATGAGAAGGCTAATTTTTATCTATTTATACTAGATGATATTATTCTTACTCTTTGATAATGCCTTTAATTATTGCTGCTTGATACAGATGATCTTTAACCCAAAACAACACACAATACAGCTCAAGAGACTTTTTTCATCACTTCCTTTCTGCTGATTGTCTCCAAGAAGCTAAACTTTAGTTCTTTTTGGATAATCGCTGCTTTTTACCTTTTAAATTTTAAGGAAGTTGAGAGACAAAGTCAAATTTGGGCTGGGTGTGCTGATAAGAAAAGGGACATCTCTTTTTGCGGCCTGGGATGCTTTTACTTGAAAAGCAAAGATCTAGGAAGAGATAGGAAAAGGAAGAGCCCTCATAGGAGCATTGATACATCATGGAGTAGAGAGGAGAGAAGTGACTTGAGCATTGAAGTGACAGGTTGCTGTCAGAACAAGAAGACCCTTGAAGATAGACGAGGACAGGGTGAGTGACCCAATGTTAATGTCACCACAGATGACTAAGCATGGTCATTTGTACTTTGAGTTTTTTCTGAAAGGAGTTTTGTGTCCAGTGAATATGAGTGTATTTCAGATTAGGTCAAAAGGGAAGTGAGAGACAACATTTCTAAATGTGTTTTGTCAGTATTTCTGTGGTTATGAACAGTTTTTTGCCCTTATTTGACCCAGCATCGAAGTTTGAACAGTTCCACTTCCCTTTCTTCCACAGATTAATGAAAGGCCACTAAGGAAACATGTTGCTTTTTGATAGTTGCGTCCAAAGCTTGGATTGGTGCTTTCTATCCCACATAAACCAACTGCAGCATTAACTGCTGTCTGCACAGACATGTGTGTCTGTAATGACCTGTGTATAAAGAATCACACATGATAGGCCATTTTCAAGGCCGTTATGGTGTTATTGAAAAATCAATTTTAAAGCTCCTTTTTTTAATTCACAGTTTTTTCTGTCTGTACTCTGTTGGCTTAGGTGTGGGAAGATATCAAACGGAATAAAAGAAGTCTGCAGAAAAAGAAAATACAAAAATGTTCCCTTATATTTTAATTCCAACTAAAATGTACTTCAGCACTAGAACATCTGGGATATTTGTCTGTTTTTTCTAAACACACCACAATAATTTATTTATGTGATCTATTTTTTATTGTGCCTTTTCTTGGATAGCTGATTGCAAGGGAACATCTTTCCTTCGAATTAAAAAAATGTGTAAAAACTTAAGCGAATCAACAAACCAGATTAGCACCTTACAAGGAGTTTTCAATCATTCTTTTTAATTTTATCTATGTCTGTTTCCTCATGCCAGCTGCAGCCATTGGTCTCTCTTACTTTTTTTACTTCACAAAAAATAACTGTTGTTTTTTTTCTGTTTTTGAAACCCAAATGCAAAAATATCATATTGAAATAATTAAGAATCCACTTCTTTATTTTTTCTTCAGCCATCTTAATCACACATAAGAATATAAAAGACATATTTTTAGCGATAGTGATGTTGTTCCAGAAGCTGATTGGCGCAACGGCTGGAGGTTTAAATCCATCCGATCAAAAGTCATTAATTGAAGTAAATAAATAAAGTAAATAAATAAAGTAAATAAACTTTAGACAGAAGCAAAGTGTATTTATCACCAGCATGGTAACGTCGGAGATTTTAGGTACAGGCCAATTTAATCCAATATTATTTGTTTGGCTTGATATCGGGCCAATATCCAGTATATATATTGGATTAGGACATCTCTGATAGGCAATATAGAATTAAGTCGTGTGTGGTGCAGCTTACCGGTAAAGTTCATTATCATTTCTAGTAGGCAATGCCTGCCCAAAAGAAATAAGCAATTCCTTTTATGTTACAGCTTTTAATAAAATAGTGCACAGTGTTTGTTCAACTGTTTTAGTCTGTTTTACAATATTGTTTTGCTGTTGATCAACCTATAAAATTATATTAGAATATGATTTCATCATAATCATGACTAACATTTGCTGTATGAAAGGATGAGTCTGCAATCACTGCAGTCCATTTATTCATACTGTGGTAAGTCATATACACTATTAGGCATATAGAAATAATCCCTTAGTAAAATACAAAAACTGTATCTAAATACTTCCTGAAACTGTTTATGGTAAATAAATAAATTCAATATGATTTTATACACATGTTGCGATAATATAGATAATAGCACAATTTAAAACAGTCTTCATGGCTGTACTGTAAAAACATAAGAGTATAATTTTTTTATTGTCTGTTTTGGTCTGAGGTGAAAACAGGAGAGGATTATTATTGTTCATCAGTGCTTGTCAGGACCTCAGGGAGAACAAATCCAATGAAGGCTCAAATCGTTATTATTTGCAGCTCCTTTTCTGCTGTAGGCCAAAAGTGCAATGAAGTTTACATCACCTTTAAAGAATCTCTCTAATTTCCTCCCATGTAATGACCCGCTTTTATTGCTTTTTTCATTTTATGTGCTTGAATCCGCCTTAAATCACATTTGAACTAGTCTTTATTTTTAAATGCCGTCTAGCAGTAGGGCTTTTTTTTTTCACTTTAACGAGACATTTTTAGATCTGGGTTTAGCAGTAATTACAGACACCTTTTACGGTTACTAAGGTATCCTTTTAAAGAGGTTTCTTTTTTTCTCTGTCATCCTACAGGTTGTGGACCTTACCTGATTCTGAGCTGACCTAAAAGGGATAATTAATCCAAGGCCTGGATTCCTCAGTAACAATGGCTCCTGCAGCACCGTCCGTCCCTACATCTGCCTTCATCTCGCTCCAGCCATCCCGTTCTTCATCGTCTTCGCTTTTCTTCCTCCTCACCTCCCTCTTTGTCCTACTCTCCTGCCCTGCTCCAGTCCATGCAGATTCTTCAGGGAACTGTACAGCCAGTGGAGACCCCTGTCAGGAAGGTGGGTGTGGGGTATCGTTTTAGAAACTTCACTTTTGTACAAAATGGAAAAACTGACACAAATAAGCATATATTTAAACACTTTTTTTTAAAGTTTCCAGTTTTTCCTCATATCTAATTTTACTCTTTTGGTAACCGGCTACAATGAAAAAACGTGCTGTTCTGCTGATGATTCATAGATTTGCCTAATCTAACAATTTTAGAATTGCTTGACTGAATATGATAATAGTTTTACATCCCAATGAAACCAAAGCTAATTTGTTCTGTAGCTGCTAACAATGGAATATCTGATTAAAACTTGGCACACAGCATGAATCTGACATATTAATGTTGTTTTTTATTAATATTATTATTGTTGTAAAATTAAATGACCCAGCAGAAACTGTCAGGTCATATTTCTTTTTTTTTTGTATGATTATAAACAGCCTGTCTAATGTCTTTTGTATGAGATTTTCTCATTTCTCACTGCAGACTAAAAAGCCCCTGTCCTGGAACCCAGATTGAATTGTCCTCCATTAAATTTCAAGATTGAAAGCCCACTTAGTGCTTTGTATCACTGTTAAAATTCAGCTCCTTTCAAAATGTTTCCATATCTGATTTAGCTCTTGATAAATTCATCACCTGCCTGTCTATATCCCTGTTTTGGACTCATGCATCTATTTTGTACTTGTAACCAAACTATTTTTAAACAACATTACTCTCCATTTGAATTGATTATGCTGTATTATTTTATGTATGTGTGCAGCACTTAGCACATCAAATTTATTATAGTGTTGCTTTTAATCTCATATTTAAATGTTTCAGATCTTAAAAACATTATATATATATATGGCAAGGATTCTTTGTTGAGTGGAAAAAGATCCTTATACTTTTTAGAAGTTTACGAAAATGTCACATTTAACAAGATTCAATATAGAATGCCTGGATATCTTCAGTTGGTTTAATCATAATTATGAGGCTTAAAGGAACACTAATATACATATATGTTTAAATAAAACTATATATTTTGATATATTTCTGTTAGTGAGATATTAATTGTTAGATTATGTCAGTTCTCTAATCTCATTGGTAAATCTTGCTTAAACTCTGAGTGTTGTTTTTTTAATTACTTTGTTGTGCAAACTAGACATATAGATCGATATCAAGGTTGTGTTGCCACTGCCTGTGCTTCAGGACTATCACATTTGCAGGCTGCAGGTAAATGCACTGATTACAATCATTTGACTGACAATAAAAGGCAATTTAAATTTTTGTGTTTTAGGAGTCGTACTTCCTGTGTGGAATCCTCAGAATCCCTCTGTGGGAGATAAAGTGGCCCGGGCTATTGTCTACTTTGTGGCACTTATTTATATGTTCCTGGGCATGAGTATTATAGCGGACCGGTTCATGTCATCCATAGAGGTACGTCAGTCTTTTAAGCCTCGTTGATCTTCACTGTCTAGCAATAGAAGAATAAATATTTAGTATGATAGCTAACTTTGTTTATACCAACTCCTTTTGAGCCTTTGCTCCCCTTTGTTGTTATCATTTTTTGCCTCAGGTCATAACATCCCAAGAGAAAGAGATAACCATAAAAAGGCCAAACGGTGAGACCACAACAACCACGGTCAGAATCTGGAACGAAACTGTCTCTAATCTCACTCTGATGGCTTTGGGTTCGAGTGCTCCAGAGATTCTGCTGTCTGTTATTGAGGTGAGTCCAGGATGTGGCTGAAAGCTGCACAGAAGATCAGGCAATAAGAAACAGGATTGATAACCAGATTTATTTTAACCTCCTACCTGCAGGTTTGTGGTCACGGCTTTGAGGCCGGGTCACTTGGTCCTAGTACAATCGTGGGCAGCGCCGCCTTCAACATGTTCATTATCATTGCCCTCTGCGTCTATGTGGTTCCCGACGGTGAGACCAGAAAGATCAAACACCTTCGGGTGTTTTTTGTCACAGCAGCTTGGAGTGTCTTTGCCTATATCTGGCTCTATTTGATTCTGAGTGTTATTTCACCTGGAGAGGTTGAGGTAAGGATGCAGGTTTAGAATTGGGAAAAGGGAAGTGGAAAGCACTAAAAAAGATATACCTTCACCCATTCTATTTTCCTCCACAGGTCTGGGAGGCTGTACTCACCTTCCTCTGCTTCCCTCTCTGCGTCGTACAAGCCTGGGTGGCTGACCGACGGCTTCTCTTCTACAAATATGTCCGCAAGCGTTACCGTGCAGACAAGCACCGCGGTATCATCATTGAGACAGAAGGGGATGGAGGGATCGGCGGCATGGATGGAGGTGGAGGAGCGCTGGGTCCAGGTGGATTCACCAAGATGGATATGCTGGAGCTGGATGGACAGATTGCTCTGAACTGCCACAGTGGGATGGACGGAGGAATGATGGTAGAGGGTGGAAAGGATGAGGATGATGAAGCAAGGAGAGACATGGCGAGGACACTGAAGGAGCTGAAGCAGAGGCACCCAGACAAGGACATGGAGCAGCTGATTGAGATGGCTAATTATCAGGTACAGTCCACTGATATTTATCCCATTGTTTATTTACGTTAACCTTATTCTTAGAGGATTACATTTTTTTTTTCTTGGAACATATAGAGATTCCTTTCTTGTTCACTTTCCATTTCAGAAGGAGAGGGTAACACACTCTAAAAACTGTTTGCCAACCGCCGCTACAAAGAGCAGTTAGTTTGTTTCCGAATGTGAGTTTTACTTGACGTGGCAGCTGATTTTGATTGGATAGCTTTGAGGTTTATTCTGAAGGCCATTACCTACTCCCAGAGATGCGAAAATCTTCTTTTTGCTCCAAAAGCTGCTCTGTCTATGTGGTTCTTACTGTTAGGTCTTGAGACAACATCTGGACTCAACTGTTTTGTGTCTAACAACAGTTATGTGATTGATCAGAATTTGGACGGGGGTTGCAGGAAAAAATATAATGTCCCCCTTTTGTTCTCGGTTGGAAGTTCCTCCCTTATTTCAGGTGTAGAAATCCTCAATGGATATTTTGGGGATCGGTCGACTGAGACTGTGATAAAATACGAACATTTGTATATCAAATACGCTTTTTTTTCACTTAAATCGTTATTGTTTTTTTAACCATGACAGCAAAAAAAAGTAAACTGAACAAATAGCTGCCCAGGTAAAGCTTAGTGCCTTTTTAACATTATTAACATATCAATTAATTGTTCAAATATACTTATTTTTAAAACAAATATCCTACATTGAGAAGCTCCACGGTAGCACTCTGATCTAGTGCTAGCAAAAACCCATCCCCGTGTGGTGATGTCAGAGGTAGAACCCTCAACAATCTATAATGGAGACGGAGTCAGACCGTGAGCCGGAGGGTGATGGCTATATGACCGCAGCTTCTCCAGTAGAAAACACAGCTTGCTACACCTCTGAACCAGATCGCACAACCAATTATTACTTTCTAAATATAAATGACTTTATAACACTTTAAATGAACACAATCTTTCAAATAAATCCCCCATCACTGTTAAAAGAAATGATTTACTATATTCTTAAAGGTATAGCTTGGAACTCCACCTGCCCTTTGCTGCCAGGGTTGTTAGATCTGCATGTTTCCTTCCCAAAAAAATAAGGTGAAACCTCATTGCCTCAATTAAAAAACAGCATAAATTCCATTGAAGCTTCTGTTAAAATCATGAACCTAATACAGTACGAAGAGCCACGTTATTATTATGAAGTTAGGCTCAGCTTCGGTGTTTCAGAAGCTAAGCACAGTAAGCTTTGAATCAAGACAGCAACATTTACGCTCCCCGTGGGCCTCCAGTTGTTTTCCAAATATTTTTTATAATATTTCTCCCTTAATCAGTAAGCAGTGATACCCTGGCCGGCCAAACTGAATTACACGGAGCGTAAACCACCGTTGACTCTGGCCAGATTTGGCAGGACCAATCAAAGCACGGGAGGCGGGACTTAGTAATGCCTTATTCTCAGCGCCAGATTTACCCATAATACAACAGCGCTCTTCTGCTAGCATAACAAAATCTAGCGACCGCAATGGAGCAACGTTATAATTTAAGTCATGAATGTAATGAAGAACACACCTTATGTCCTGCTGGAGGTTCCTTCCTTTTAAAAGGGAGTTTTCCTCTCCACTGTCGCTACAAGCATGCTTGATGGGAGGGTTGCTTTCAAGCCAATGAGTCAATGCAATCAGCTGGTTGTCATTAGATAGAAAACTTTAAACCAATCTGACTGTATGATCTGGTTGAATTGTCTCCATAGAGTGCCTTGAGGTGACACTTGTTGTGAATTGGCACTATATAAATAAAATGAATTTAGTTGAATATCCTCAAAAGCAGTTCAATGGAGAGTTTCTTCAGTGGCTTGACATGTTTCATGAACTACAAAATTACGAAACCAGAATATGTCACCTGTAGGTTTTGCATCACACCTGTAGATATCGGTTCTAACCTTATGATGCTGACCTTCTAATGAACTCAGATCGTTGGACCCAAAATTCAAGGCGAGACAGGCAGTGGAAAAGTTCAAAGCGTTTATTTTAAAACAAACAGGAAGGCTCATCAGGGCTGCTCGTCAGCTGCAGGGCGAATCTCTGCAGAGATAGGAAATACAGGTCAGTGACTGGATTGTGGGGCTGATCACGACTTGGAGCAAAAGTCACTGACCTGATTCAAAGTTCAGCCCAGTCCCGGAGGAAATAGTTAAATCTAAACAGGAGATTAGTCCCCAGCTAGAGGCAGGCGCCCCCCCCCCTCAGATTTCCTAGAGAGAGAGCAGAGCAGGCGGCAGCCGACGCCGAGAAGCAACAGTGTCCTTGAGGGGAAATCCAAAGCAGGAGTCAGAAGACAGGTCCAAGTTCAGAAGCAGAGTAGAATCCAGGAATCAGTCTAGGACAGATCAGACTAACAGAACAGACAGCGGCAAAGCAAAAATCGGGATCCACAGGGCAGAAACTGGTCACAATCAAGAAAGCAGAACAAAATTCAGAACACTAGAGTTAATCTCAACAAACAGCTCGAATAACCTGGCACTGATGGAAGGCAAGCAAACAACATAAATAGCAGAGGAACCAGGTGGAAATGATCGTCTTTAATCAGTACCTGGACCAATTAGACAGGTGAGCTGGAGAAAAGGAAAAAACTGAACCATCATCATTAGAATTGTACCAGGTTCTTACCAGACTCATAAGTATACATCGTATCAGTTTGGCTGGCCAGGCTTAAGTTTTGCTAGTGACCTTTAACTGGAAGAAGTATTTTGATAAAAAAATATATTGCACCCTTGAAATAATTCCATTATCATCTTTGATAATGTTTTGGTCTACAAAACAATACTAGAAAATGTTAATATCATGTCATCAACCCTTTAAATTTGAGCGGCTTGTAATGTAAATAAACCTGTTGTAAAATGGGTTGTACCAAGAGGGACACAGCTCAGTGTTTGGATGAGCAGAGGTCAGGTGGAAGTGTTGTCAGCACAAGGGAAAGTGACAGTGGAAGCTTTACGTATTTATGTGTGTTTCCAATGCCAGAAATGACTGCCTTCTAATGCCTTTTCCTACAAACATAATATTGTTTCCAGCCAAGAAAGAGTCGATTGAATGTAATGATTTTCACCACTAGCGTAGCCAATTTGTTAATTTTCAATTTGGGACATCCTTAGGATTACAATTCAACCGTGCTGTTTTATTAAAAATCATTTCTGTAGCATTGGTAAGCATCATTAGATATATATTTCAGACTTTAAAACTGGAAATAAATATGGTGCCTTTTCCATTTATTTACAGTGCCATGACAAAGTATTGGCTACCTTAAAGTATTATTGTGTTGGTCTTTGTCTTCTAATAAACTGTATGACTTAAAGTAAATTATGGAGTCATTAGTTTTTGCTCGCTAAGAGAAAAAACCAGAAGGAGAATGTTTCAGTTTGTGAAATTAACCTTAAAAGCAGTCAGGCTACGGAACAGGGAACAGGGTTTTGGAGTGTCCTAGTCAAAGTTTGGACTTAACTCCGATAGATTAATTGATGTAACATTAAAAAAGCTGTTTATAATGGAGATCCTCAAATCTGACTGAATTGGAATAAATCAGAACAATGGATGAAAATTAAAGACTTGTTCTTATTCACTGCAAATTTAATGGCAGCGTGTAGCTTCATGGTTTGATAGGTTTTTCAATAAAAAAAATGGAATCTTAATTTTAAAATGGTAATTAACCTCTATTTACTTTTTTGATATTGAAATAAATTTGATTATGTCAAATATTTTACTGTGTGTGCAGCACATCAGATTTCCCTTCCCAGTTCCCTTCATGTCTGTCTGTTGATTGTGTTCTTTAATCAGGTTCTGATGCAGCAGCAAAAGAGCAGAGCATTTTACCGCATCCAGGCAACCAGGATGATGATCGGAGCAGGGAACATACTGAAGAAGCACGCCGCTGATCAGGCTCGCAAGGTGAGGAGCTGAGACCTTTTCAGTTTGACATCCAACAGCTGTTGGATAACATTTCACCTGAGCGTACGCTTTTTCTTTTTCCTTTGTGTTTTTCAGGTAGTGAGCAGCAATGAGACTCAGACTCAGGAAGACGACCCTCACACCATTAGGATGGAGTTCGAACCCTCTTTATACCAGTGCTTTGAAAACTGCGGCTCCCTGAATCTTACAGTTGCCAGACATGGAGGAGACCCTGGAGTTACTGTCAAAGTGAGTTTCTATTAAAATTAATCACAGTCCACTGAGATTAACAATTTTTTAGAGGTGGAAGCTAAGAGACACAGCAAGAAATAAAAACAGGCACCAGAGGAAACAACCACTCAGAGCTCTAGCACTTTTGTCTTCATCTAATATTTCTTATAAAATGTTTTCCCCTCAAGGAGGTTTAGAAGTCCTTGTTATCTTTTGTAATTGGATGTTGTCATGAGGCTGAGATGATAGAAGAGTTTTGCAGTAAGCTGTGAGGCATGACAGAGAACACCTTCCTCTGCTGCTTTCCAGTTTTTAGCTTTGCATACGTCTTAGAAAAACTCCTCCTTTTGCAGAGACTGATTGATCTCAACCCTGAAACACAGACGGTGTCAGTAGTGTTTGTATCATTCTTGCATGTAAATGTGGTTGTTTTGCATTTCCATTCATTTCTAATTCCTACTTAAACTTCCTGCTTTGCATTTATTGTCGAAAGGGGTTTGTGTTATCATTACTGTTGATTTTTTTTTTTTTTTTTTGAAGAAATGTGCAGCTGTAGAAAATGGTTCTGGTTAAAGTAGATTTTTTAAGAATCTTTTCAAAATCCTGAGTTTTTTTGTTTGTTTTTCCGCATTAGTCATGGAGGCAGAACCCCGCAGCACTCCCAGGTTGTTGCACTGCTTGTTAACACAAATGGTGAAACAGCCATGGCAACAGCTGAATGCATTAAGGCATCTAGAAGTACCGAAGAAAAAAAAGTCACTAAAGCTTTAACTGTGCTCCAGAATGGGGAATTAAAGGGATTTATGGGATTTTGTACATTGAATGGTTGTTGGTGCTAAACAGGCTTAACTGAGTATTTCACAAACTGTTGATCTGCCGAGGTTTTTACACTCAATCTTTTATGCGATTCATAGATTACTGACAAATGGGTCAGTAAAAATAAAATGTTTTTTTGTAACATTACATAATGGGCAGATTTCTTTGAATGATAGAACAGACAGTATCTCAAATAACATTTATTGAAAATGTGTGGATGCTGAATGCTATAGCAGCAAAAGATCACAATGAAAGCCACTCTTGCCAGCCGTCATCAGCAAACTGATGCCTCACCAAAATTGTTTGATAGCACAGGTTAAAGGCTCCTTTTAACTGTCCGTAGCAAGAAGCTAATTTTCTGATAGGTTTCAAAGTCAGCTGCAACATTTAGATGGTAGAGTTCAGACCAGGGGCACAGGTAGACATTCTCATCATCAGGGGCTTAGTCCACAAAATATAGAATTATAATATAGGTGATTCGGTCCCCAAAGGGCCTTCAGAGCCTTCACTGCTGGCCTAAAATCAAACAAAAACAAAAATCTTCACAACTTTAATTTTCTTCTGTCTAACTGCATTAATTTATTCCAAACAATCTGTTTTCTTTATTTTGTAGCGTTTATATCTTGGCTGCACTTCTTGCATTGCAGTTATGTGGTTGCTATATTTCCTTGTCCAATCAGATTTCAGCCTGATTGGACAAAAACCCCTCTCTGTGTTGCTATATCAATTAAATCTGCACAGAGCCTTCAGAATTAGCTGTGCTTTGCTGATCTATCCTTACGAATATTAGTAAGGAGCATTTTCTTCAACCAATCAGATTTTAGTTTTTCACCACAGGGTCAGCTGGCGAACTCAAATGTCAACATTTTCTGTCCTCTGATTGGTCAGTTAGAGCAAAATGTTTACAGCTAGTGACAATCTGCATTTTGGATTCGCTTATTTTTTTTTTCTCAATGGCTGATACTAAATGGAGATACTAAGACCTCCTGCGCAAAGACAGAACGATGGATTCTATTATTTCAACCTTTACCTTATAGAGCAACAGGTTTTCTGTATTGATATCAAGCAGTGACGCCTTCCAAAATATATATATTTTTTTTATTTCATTATTTATGAAACTAGGCAGACAGGAAATGGGATTAGAGAGAGGGGGGACACATGTAGCAAAGGTCAAAAGGCCAGGAGTCAAACATATGATTGCTGCCCTACAACTGCACCCAAACTCAGGATGGTTTGAGCAATGGTTGTGACAAAGTTGCTTTATGCCTTACAAAGATTTTTTATCCAATTCTAAAAAAAAAAAATCCCTAATTCTCTATTGTGTCACAATATTCCTGTCTGCCAGAGTAGGGCAACAGAAGAAATCGATAAATAAAAAGACATATATAGAAAATTGCAAAAAAAAGGATTAATCTCCCATTTTTTAATTGAAAATGTATGACATCAGTAGCCCGTACGTCCGGAAATGTAGAAATATTACATTGCCTTAGGACAGTACCAGAAATATCAGGCCGCCGAATGAGTGTTTTTGAAAATAAATTAAGTCGAGAATCTTTCTGAGAGCATGCACATTTCATGAAGGGCTAAAAATATATCCAGGCAAAGACATTACCCAGAGTCACACCAGCAATACGACTTCAGACATCAGCTTTCCCTGTCTTTTAGAGCTGTGTTATGTCCTTTTTTTGTTGTTGCTGTTCTCATCTGAATGTGAAAGATGGGTACAGTTATTAAGCAAACAGTATGAAATGAACATAGGAGATGTTTATTGTGCTATCTTCAAAGCCTTTCTTATTAAACTGTATCTGACCATAAGGCTTGGTTTAATGAGGATGTTTCTCTTGTTCTTTCTATCTCTCTCTTTGTCACCATCTCCGTCCCCATCCTCTCCTCTCGTCTGTGATCTCCCTTTGTGGTTAATCTGCCCTCTTCATATGTCTGCTATCTTTTATCTCTGACACCCTCCCCCTTATCTCTTTCCACTTTTTTATTTTTTTTCCTCCCTCTGCATTCCCATCTGCCCCAGGTGGATTATCGCACAGAGGACGGTACAGCTAACGCAGGCTCAGATTATGAGTTTGCTGAAGGAACACTACTGTTTAAGCCTGGAGAGACCCTCAAAGGTAATGACGAGCGCAATAGTAAAAATTTATGACATGTTTTCAAAAGCGATGTCACTGAGACTTGTGCTCTGATACTACAGATCATCTGCTGTCTACAGCCAGACAGATCAGTTTCTTATTTACTGAGTTGAGTTTGCACAACGATTTAGATGTGACTGTAAAGGACAAACTGGTCCAGTTTATATCCGGCATTGTACAGTAGATCACATTTCTGCCTGGATCAATGCATTTCCTTTTGTTAGATTAAAATCCAGCTGCATAAAATGATTATGCAGCATTAGTAATTCTGGGAAAGCACTTGGTAACAGTCAAGAGGAAACACTCTTTTTAACAGGTAGAAAACTAAAGCAGAGCTGGTGTAGATATCAGATCTTCTCAGGTGGTCAGATCTGGTCGGGCCCTATGCATGCCTGTGACATTACATTTTATGATTGGCTGAACGTTGCCACAATGACTTAAAACATTGTGGTTGCCCAGACAACTATAATAACATAATGTATTATCCGTGTGCCGAGGCCGGAGCATCTTTAGTGTTAGTATGTCTGATCAATGAAGTTTTAACTGATAGATAACAAGACTGAAAATATCTGTTTTTGGTGAACTAAGTACCTACAAGTATGAACTATGAACTAGCGTGACAGTGAAGGCCCCATACCTATCGTAAAAGAGTAGCAATGGCTACAGTTGGCTGAAAAGATGCAGTCATTGGTCCCATCCAGGTATGAAACAGCAACAATCAGAAGGCAAACTCACTTTCTATTAAGTGAAATCTGAACAGAATATAAAGTTTGTAGCTGCAGCTACATCAAAAACTGCCTAGTGGAGATACATAGCTCTAAGTGTACTTTCTATTATCTAAGAAAAAAAAAAAGGGAACCAAGGCTAAACATAAAAGCAAGGAAGTGCATCTTACATTAAAAGAAAAACCATAAAGCATCTAAATTGAAAGCAAGAGTCCCATCAATAGTTTTGTCCAGTAAGAGAAACAGCTGAACACAGAAGCTCTGGATCATGGTGCACTTTCTATTGGAGAGAAATGTAAAATAAACCGGATTTCTGTTCCTTCAATACTATGTCCTGATGGATTTCTCCTCCAGAGATTACTGTCGGCGTCATTGACGATGACATCTTTGAGGAGGATGAGTACTTCTACGTTCACCTCAGTAACCCTCGTGTTGTGGGTTGTCCTGAGATAGGCACCGCCCCAGTGGATTCCACCCTTCACCCGAAAGCCGTGCTTGGAGATAACCACACAGCAACAGTCACCATCTATGATGACGACCACGCAGGTGAGGTGCACCTTTCATCTTACAAGAATATTGTCAACTTAATCATTATTGTTGTTGATTAATATTTAGGATCAACAAGAAACCACTTTTAAGAAGGATTTACATACAAGCACTGTACCAAAAATGGTTCAGCACCACTGCATGCTGTTAATGTGTCTAGAAAAAAATGCAGCAAGACAATCATTCTTGATGTTCTTGATTTAAAACAATGTTCTCTAAACTAACAGCTCACAAACTAACTAAGTTTTAATGTAAATCTGCAACATATATGATTAAAAGCAGCTAAATTACTTCATTAGAAATCAAAGCAGTTGATCAGCCATTTCTAATCAGAATTAGAATCTCAATTAAAAAACTTACTCTGATAGACACCTGATCAGAATCAACATAAATGATGAACTAAAACATTTTCATCAATCCACCAATTTCTAATCCAGAACCACAAGGAAGTAGAGTGAAGGATTCAGGCAAGGCTGGTGGTAGTATTTTAAAATTTTAGTTCCTCCCACGGTCCTTTTTTTAAATAGATAAACAAAACACCAATGAATATCTATCATTAGCGATGCTGACTGATAAGAAAGGCTTATATCATAATACGTTTTTCAGCCATGATGCCCAGCCCCATTTTGAAATATTAAAATTGAAGACTTCAGATCAATAAAAATCACTTTTACTTTTATTCAGACCATCGTTTAACACTTTAAAAAGATAAAAGGCTAATTCTTTTCAGTGTGAACTTCATTCGAAGTTGCACAACTTTAACTGACTCCAAAGTTAATAAACATGTTAATCTTTTCCCCCCTGATATTGATTTTCCTCTTTATGCACTCTGGCATAAACCTTGGAGAGCAAACTGCTGAGGATGTAGGTATTTATCAGCCTCCTTTCTTTCTTCAGGCATCTTTACATTCGAAAGTGCCAGTCAGAGGGTGAGTGAAAGCGTAGGTGTGATGGAGGTGAAGGTCATGCGTACGTCGGGGGCCCGGGGTCTGGTAGCTGTCCCTTATCGGACCGTGGATGGAACTGCCAAAGGAGGGGAGGACTATGAAATGGCTGCTGGAAAGCTGCAGTTTCAGAATGATGAGACCATGTGAGTAAAAAAAAAGAAAACATGAGATCTGCTGTGTTTTCTTGTACTTTTAATCCTAAATTTAAAATGTAATAAAGTGGTTTCTGTCTAAAAGCAGGTTATCATTACAATAACCCTGCTTTTTTTTTGGTATGCTTGTGTAGATTAAACATATACAAACTCTCAGAGTTACTCCTGCGTCCTTGGGCACATGCATTTTTAATATGCTGATGTTAGCAGTGTTAAATTGACCAATACATAAAGCAATTGGGACTGCAGTTTCCTTGGGGCCTTATGGGGCTCATAAAGCTCCCACTCTCTGTGTGTTTGTGAGTGTAAGTGGATTAGTTTGGTCCAACTTTACAGGGATTCTTATGAAGGTGTAAATATACTAGGCATTTCCCCTTTATTAGCAGCTGTATAGGTTTAGAGGTAAGAGGTTTTTTAGTTTATGGTTTCGGATTTTTGGAAAGACCACACAAAAGCTCTAAGTTTCCCTGAGAGGGAGACTGAGGTTATTGACTTTATGCCTGCCTGAGCACTCTCCTACTTTGTAGTTTAAATTGTTTCCAAGCTGTTTCTGTGAGGGCTCCTTCAGTCTAAAAAAGAACTTGTTGGTTTGCCATTTGAGCTATTTCAAGGAAAAAGAGGGACTAGAAATAAACTAAGGAACAGTTCAAATGCTTACCTTGAAGGCTGAGAGGCAATGTTAAAGGTTAGAAATGATGAAGGCTTATTAGGTTGATTTATTTCAACAAGTCAGAGCTGAAATAAGCTCAGTTAACTGCAGAACCATTTGGGTTGTGTGTTTTTTCAGTTGATCATGTCTTAAGGTTATATAAGCGTGACTCCTTTCAATAAGCAAAGTCTGGTCTTTGCATCCTAACCCCCAATCCAAGAACAAAACTACTCCTCATGAGGACCAGTCAGTCCCAAGAATTAACTGTAAGTCCCCACAACGTGGCATGTTCCTGGGAAATTGTTCCTACATTGAAACTATGGCCCCACACACACACACATTTGGTGTTCTTGTAGTGAGGACCGTGTGTTGAATATTGACTTTCATTGATTTTTAGTCATTTACAACCCTTTCTCTGCCCCAATCCTTACTGACTCTAACCTGCTGATGAATCTAGAAGGTTAGAGAGCACCAACAAAATAAAATGCAAAGGCTTAAAACCGCTTATTTTACATCATCATCATTTCCTTTTATCTGAATCCAGACATCTAATGGGGTAACTATTTTAGGAATGCTAATTTTATTATTTCATTATCCCAAGGGGTTGCTGAGTTTAACGTTCATAATCAAAAAACACTGACTCTATCCCTTTAACTACAGGTTATAAAACCTTCTGTAGTCCAGCTTTGATAAATGATGAGCCTTTTTTTTTATTCGGCCTCCTGTTTTTGGCTCCTATTTTCATAGACGGCCATGGAGCCGGGGGAAAATGGGTGCAGGAGGATAGTTTTGGCTAAACCGTGAGGGACAAAAGCTGTGAGCTGCTTAGGGAAAACCTGAAGGGTAGGTTGACAGTAAAGGAGGAAAGAAGGATCAATATTCTGCTGTTTTCATGTAAATGAGTGGGAGTAAAGTGAGTGAGAGGAACGCCTGGAGTGGAGACCTCAGCAGGGTATTGATTCCTCCCTTCAGTCATCTATCTAGTAGCCTCACCCTATTTTTTGTTGCTTGAGTTCTCACATTTTGGTCTTGGATTTTCGATTTTCATAATTTATGACTGACCTATAATTAACCATTTACATTGCTTCCATTCAACCTCTGAAGCTAAAGTGTTATCGCTGTATTTAAGGGTGTAGTTTAAGCTGCCTAGAAATCTCCAATAGATTCACTTTTGATCACCTCTCCAGATTTCTTCTGTTTACTTATATGAGGGTATAAACCTTCCACCCACTGTTTTGATTTTATCCATATATGGTGTTGCTATGAAGAAACCTCCGATCATGTGATGTGTTCGGATATGTGTGATGTTTTTGGTACGCTGCCCTTGTACAATAGAGATTGGTGGGGTTAAAGCCACAATAATGAGGCTGCAACTGATGGCTCAAGTCTCACAGTCGATTTCTCCATCGCAGGTCCCTAAAGCTAAGTGAACAATCTGCATAGTGTGCGGGGACGTTTTAGTCATCGTTGCCTCTTTAGCAGTGATGCAAATGAGAGGTATACATGATGTGTGATCATTACTTTTCTATGGCGATAGTTCTTCCTCTGCCCTTGAAATGAAACACTGATACTGATGGTTTGACCTCTGTACTATTATTGTTTGTATGGTGGCCCAAGGGTTAGAACAGAGGGCCTTTGTCCTGAGAAGGATGCAAGTTCCCTGGTTTAAATCCCACATACTTCCACTGTTGGTCCCTGAGCAAGACCTTTAAGCCCTAAAGTGCTACCCGAAAGGATTGGCTAACTTTGATAAAGACAAATAATAAAGATAAAGATAATGCAAAAAGCAGCAAATGCAGGCCTGATTAAAAAAGTAATGTCCCTTTTTTATTCACTACATTTTTCTTTATTGAATATGAGACAGCTTTTTCTGTCAATTTAAGTTTATGTTTTGTTCCATCTTTTTTATCCGTCAAAAAGTTTTTAAGTTTTGTTCTTATCCCCTTTTTATTTTCTTTCAGTTTTTCAATTGTTTTATCATTTCATCTATTCCCTTTTTTTCTTTATTAAAAAATATATCTTTTTATTTTTATATTTCATGTTTTACTTACCTTTCTCCCTTTTTCTATATTTTCCTGCCTAACCTCTCTTTCCTTCTTTCCATATACCGGTATGTCCAGTTTTTGGCCTCTTAGCGTTCCTTTTCTCAGTTGCTCTTCTTTCCTCCTTCACCTTTACCTCCACCTTGCTTTCATTTTGTATATTTTTAATAATTTGCATATTTCCCCTCTGCCTTTAGCATTTGCATATTGTTACTGTCAGACCTTCTTCCTCCTTTTTTACCCTCCTCACCCTCCTCTTCCTAACACCTCCTGCCTCTGCTATTTTCTGATGTCATCATCTCTGCCTCTTGCTATCTAGTTCTCTACTCAGAGAAGAATTAACTGTTCGTCCATTCTTTTCAAACCTTCAGTCTTTGCAATTGCTTTGTTTCTGTTATTTAAGCCAATCAAATGAAATTTGTCACATTTGTTAGTCATCTAGAATATGGTGTTACATTAAGCAGGAGGATTAAAGACTGGAAGACAGAGAGAGGGATGAATTCTGTCTTAATGTTTCTCTGAAAACCTATCTGAAATCCTTTAAACAGAACTTTACAGACCCTTAAAACAGAGAATGTATTAAAGGTGCATTTTTATTAGATTGAATCTGCTGACTGCTAAAGGGGTTTAGGCAATGACAGAGTGTAAAACCATATTGTAGTTGAAAACATTATACAGAAAGATAGTTGGGTAACCAGTGGGTCACAGATTTACTAAACATTTCAGTTTGCTTCAGTTTAAAGTGTTTTTCCCCCAATAACTTGGTTCCAGTTTTAAACAGGCAAGGTAGTTTTGTCAACTTAGTGGGTGAGGTTGCTTGAGGCCCCAAATGCAGAGATGAGTGAAGCAGAGATGAGTTCTTGTCGGTTTAATAAAAAAACTGAAGCAAGCATTCGAAAATAGAAAATACAAAGAACCAAAAATTAAAGGAGAAGTTCGGTTTTTTACACTTTAAGCCCATTTTCTGTAGTGTCCAGGATGAAATCGAATGGTCGAGACCAAAAGTTTGACAATTGCTCCTGTCTCTGCTTTTTGGCTCATTTAGAATCAACCCCTGGCTGCTTTAGAAAGGCTTGCATAGAGCATGTCCGATAATGTCCTTAAAACAACCTTAAACATTCTTTTTTTAAAATATGCTACTCACCGGGTCGTCAGCGCTGTTCAATGACGTTCCAAAAAAAGTTTCGTAAAGAAAAAACGTTCCTGTAGTGTTTTATTTAGCATTTTGTAAATCCCATTGAGTTCTGTTGGAATAGTCAATATTCCGCTGCCACCGGAAACGGAAATGGGGCCTGTTTACACAGTTGTAGTCTTTTCGCTTCACTCTGTGTACTCCGACGTCGAGGTGCTAACGTCTCTGTTAAACACTTTAAAAAACTCTGAAAATGGAATACGAAAGGTGGATTCTTGATTCTCGACGTCGGAGTACACAGAGTGAAGTGAAAAGACTACAACTGTGTAAACAGGCCCTATTTCCGTTTCCGGTGGCAGGGGAATATTGACTATTCCTACAGAACTCAATGGGATTTACAAAATGCTAAATAAAACACTACAGGAACGTTTTTTTCTTCACGAAACTTTTTTTGGAACGTCATTGAACAGCGCTGACGACCCGGTGAGTAGCATATTTTAAAAAAAGAACGTTTAAGGTTGTTTTAAGGACATTATCGGACATGCTCTATGCAAGCCATTCTAAAGCAGCCAGGGGTGGATTCTAAATGAGCCAAAAAGCAGAGACAGGAGCAATTGTCAAACTTTTGGTGTCGATCATTCGATTTCATCCTGGACACTACAGAAAATGGGCTAAAAGTGTAAAAAACCGAACTTCTCCTTTAAGGAAAACATCAGGAAAACCCATGTCAACCAGGCTAACCAGCAGAGATGATTAAACAACTAAAAACAACAAGGAACCAGCAAACACTGACTGAACATGAGGTGTATAAATGGGAGACAGAACAAAGACCAGGCTAATCAGCAGAATGGGAGCAGGTGTGGACGGAGGAGTCTAGAAGGGAGCTACAGCTGTAGGGAAAAAGAGACTGACACCAGAGAGCAGCAGAGGGCAAACAATACCTAAGAAATCAATTACAATAACAAATATCTAGAAAGTAGAAAACATGGAAAGACATTAATCAAAATATAACTGAAAACTCAAAAGAGTACTCAAAACTTAAACAGAACCAAAAAGTGCAGAGTCATGAAAAATTTACATCTTTTAATTAACGACCTACAAAGCGAGGCTGAAAACTCAGACTCTGGTTTTGGGGAAAAGTATGTGCAGTTCAGAGGAAAGACATACT